CAACAGTTTCACTCGTACCTAACTGTGCGCTCTGTCGACACGCAATGAGTGAATATAGAAGAGGTACCTACGCATCGCGTGTTTGTTTTTTTTTTTTTCTAAACATTGCTGTCAAGGACTAAAATATTACATATATATATATGTTAACAAGTCTATATGATGATGATGATGGCCACTTGTAATTCTATAATGGAATTACTGTTATTATTGTTATTGTTGTGTGCGCGTAGCGCGCATTGTACACAGCGATAACGTCCAATCGGATTGCCCCGGGTTCACGGTGCGCTGCCAGGACATCTCTGTACGTTTTAAAGGAAGTCGTCTGCGTTTCCCGTGCACGGAAGCGCGCCGTCGGGTCCGTCGGATAGCACCCACAGTAGAGTGAGATTTTGCTAACCGCGAACGGTTAACGGTTGAATTGGGTAGTCGAAATATTACGCAGATCGTGTCATACGGGATACATTCTCACTGGCCGGGGAGTGGTAACGGAAAAATTCCAAACGTTGTGGAAAACGTTCGGTCGGTTTTCTCGTAAGGCGCTTTTTTTTTTTTTTAATAGAGAAGAGAATGGACACGCGGATGTACCGTTATATTATCGTGTATCGTTTACCGGTACATTAGAGTCTTAAAATAGCCCGACGTATATCGCACGGCGAATACAAGAACGTGGATCAGATTTATAATTGTCTAGCGGGTTCAGAGGCCGAACCTGAAAATAGGCCTTTTCTTTATAAATAATTTATGTCCACATACTACAAATCGTTTTTAACCGACATTCATACTCGTATACATTTAAATGACGAATGGGCTCCCATAATCCGGTTTGGGGTAGACCACGCCGTTGTATAATTAATTGTCTATATTTTAGTAAAAAACGAAAAAAAAACTAAAACTTTTTATTTTATTATTTTTAAAAAACATAAAGACGGCATTTTTTTGAAATTATTCTTTTGAAAATTTCGACGTATTAAATTTTTATTTTCATTAAATTCGTGATTTTTAATGATTTTTTTCAAAGTTAAGAGAAAAAAAAAAAGGACATACTTCGCATGATTGATGCAGACACTGTTGTTGGTAAGAACTTGAGAAGGTAGGTTTTAGAGGGGAAATTAATTTGTATCTGTAATCAACGATAAGCCATTGTTTAATAAAAACGATTCTGAGAGGAGTTCAGTTGATATATCTATTGTGATGTTTTTTCAGCATTAAATATTTCATATTATGGTAAAATAATTAATTAGGCATTATATATATTCTCTCATAAAATCTGTATAATATTGTACACATTTTCCGGTTTTTTCTAAGTTTTTCTTGATTTTCTCATATTTTTTCCCGGTTTTTCGCATTTTTTTTGGAAAACTCTTGGAAAAATCGAAAAGTGAATTGTTTAAACTATCTCTTTAGTCAGATTTTCTTATCTAATCTATACCTAATAATAACACATTTTAAATAATCTTTCCCATTAAAATAAATTATTTCTACGTAAAACGATCAATTTATGTGATTATTTTTATCTATTGCTTCAGAAATTCTTTATATTCAGACACGTTTTCCATTTTTAATATGATATACCCGATGATGAATTTTAAATTCGAAACCCAACATATAATATTTTTATCATAATACTCCAGGTGACGCATTCATTCGTTTATTAATTTTTTATTTCTATATATATATAGTTTTTATTTATTTTTGTTTAAATCATTATTTCTAGAAGAAAAAACGTCGTCCGTGTTTTTATAAAATAATGAAATCGTGAAATTTTAGGTTTTCCTACATTTTTTCCCACTTTGGCGCTTTTATATAAAAACTGGCGTCGGAAATCAAAAAGTCACCGGTTTAAAGTGTCATCTAGACAACTTGAGCTATCAGAAAGGACGTTACACGTGAAGACCGGAGCAAGTTTTAGCGGGGAAAAAACGTGTACACAATCTAAGAGAAAAAAAATAAAAAATATGCATCTCGGTAAAACTAATAGCTCCCTCGATTCGCTCGGAATCTAAGATTACATAAATTATTCGTATTACGTAGAAATAATTCGTTTTAATACGAGAGAGATTATTCAAATGGTTTATCGCCACAATTGGACATAGATACGATAAGAAATACAAACTATTTGGCGATTATTTACCATCTAAAATGTATTGGTATTTATGTCTCTCAACGCAATTAACCGTCTAATAACCGCTCATTTATAACAATCATAGGAGACGTGCGTATATGGTCGTGGCGCATTCCGTGTATACCGAGAGCGGCCGAACGGTGGACCGGGATCGGCCGGTAGATCACAGACTTATTAAACTTCGATCACCCCCCTCCCACCCCCCTCGTGTTAGAGCTTATTTTTATATAATTAAGAGACGATTAATCGCGATAGATTTCTGATGCTGTGCGATGCTCGTTTATTTTCGAATGAATTCGTGTAGTGTATTTTCGAACGAAAATAAGACATTTTTATTATGGAATTTTCGATTTTTAAAATCGTTTTCTTCGTGTTTCCGAGAATTCTAGAAGTTTTTATGGCATTTACAGGAACTACGCCGAGCGTCGCATTGTTAAACCTAGTTGCACGGTGTTCAATTGTTATCCACCCGTAGCCAACAAATTGTAATTCGGAAATCAACAAATATTAAATCGACGTATCTGCGATAATATAACTATCGGCTTTTCGGCGATTTTACCGGTCAACAGAAACAACGAAAAGATAACGACTATGGTAACCGGTGGTAATAATATACTCGTCCCACCGAACGTACATCTTTCTCTATTTGTGTGTACGACGGACACGCAAAAGTCAGCATGGAAAGTCGAATACGCTTAATACAACTGCCGTCCACGTAACAAGTGACGGGAGACACGGGAATAAAAACTCTAAATAGGCTCACGATAGAAAAAAAAGTATTATGATTGTCGTTAATTCGGAAACCAAACGCAGTGAAAATATTACGAAAATATTAGTTTATATTCCAATGTTTATAATATTTCAATAGTAAAAAATTCAATTGAATCTTTTAGTCGTTCGAATTTACACGTTTTGGTATTATACCGTTATAAAGTATTATATTACCTAGTAATCATTTTATATTCTGAGTGAAGCGAAGCATATATTGGTTTTACAATGACGTTTATTATATTATTTATTTTTTTTTTTTATGTGAACGCTTGTTCCAACAAAAACCTTACTCCGATGTACAAGTTGTAGACCTTATTCTGAAAGGATATTTCTTGGGGTGGTACTTCTGGAAGGTGAGGTCATGTTCGAATCCCTCGGGAGTTTCTTTATAAAATGGGGAAAAACAAAGGACCGGGAAAATAGGTACAATATTAATCAAATATTATTGAAGAAAATGTTTTATGCATTTGTAAATATTTTACAATAATAATATAACATTTATATTGTTTATAAAGAAAAAATTGTCAACTGAACTCCGCTCAGAATCGTTTTTTCGTTAGTCATGTTTTATCGTTGCTCACAGATATACATTAAATTACCGTCTGTATGACCTACCTTCCTAACTTCTCATCTACAACAGTGGCTGTTCTCATGCGCGAAACATGTCAATCTTTTGTTATTTAATGTCTAAGTAGTTAAACTAATTTGCAGTTGCTGTAAAAAAAAGTTTTTTTTACTAAACTGCCCGCGTTTGAATAGATGTATTTAAAAGAATATACGAATTTTAGACCAAGATGATAAAGTTTGAAAAACATTCCTTAGAGTCGTATAGATTTATATATTCTGGAAAATATATTTAGGTTGAAGGTTTGTGACTTATACAAAAATCAAAAAAACTCTACAGAACTTAAAAATACCCAATTTTATAATGTTATATAAATAACCTGTTACAATTTAAGCAATAGCTATTTTGTCTAACATCAATGATGAATTTTATTCGTATGGATCTGTACAAACTATGTCTAGTAAATTTACAATATCGTTCAAACGGTTTTGTATGTGTACAGTGTTGTTATTTTTTGACTTTGCCTATTTAATATATATTCCCTACGTTATTATTATTGATACGGTTTGGCGTTTTTTTATTTTTCGACAATATGATTTTGTATCTAAGCGACCGCTTGAAATCGTATTTATTATTATAATTTGTCGTTTCTATAAAGTTGTAATAATAAAATCATTCCGAAACCGTTGTCGACACGTCACTACCTATACTTACTTTTTTTTGCTTTTCTCCGTGTTCAGCGTCCCCTTACCAAGTTTAATTTCAGTTTTTGTTTTCATATTATAGCGGCTGCTACGTTTTTTGTTCTTTCGTCATCAAATTATAGTTTTTTTTATACGAGTAAATCGTTTTTCGCACAAAGTTATTTATTACATTATATTTTTGTGAGTACTTAACCGGCCAATCATGAGTGTAAGATTCGTGATCAACAATCGCGGTGTGAAGATGGCAATCCCAACACAAGTATAACAACGTTCAACATAAATAAATCGCGATTAGCGAAATAACCAATTTATAAGAATAGTACCTACCTATATTTGCTTTTCGAATGGTCGAAAAGTAAAAACGTTTAAGATTCAGTATCCCTTTGGGAAACACCTAATGAATCCGACCGTTACCGGACTTCGGAAGGAGAAAATACATATTGCATTTACATTATTATTTATTTGTACGCGTTTATTTCGGTTTTTCAGACGCGGTACTACATGAAGTCTACCAATAGTGTTAAGTTGATAAATCTGCCCAGGGCGGCATCCGCTATGAGCGTAAGGCGTTTTTTTTGTGGGATTTTTATACCCGAAGGCGGCGTTAAAATAATCGGCGGCGAAAATGAAGTGGCGTACGTGACCTTTAGGTATACGAAACGCTGTATAGTAAAAAACCATTTACAATTCTCCGGTCTCCCGCGATTAGGTATAAACGCCTCTCAAGTCGGTATTCCGCGGTGTAATCCGTTAGCGACGCGAGACGCGAAAACGTCGCGTTGGGCTTTAGCCGGACGTATTTTATTCCGTTCACGGCCTGTTTTAATCGATAGTAATAATGTTTGTTATCAGTACCGACGAGGATGCCGTGCGTGCTCTGTCACTGGACGGTGAGCGCATCCATAACGCCAAGATAAGAATTCTGCCGTGCGCGCCGGGCGAACCGGAAAGAGTATGCCGGCATATCCGAAGAAAAATTAAAGAAATCGAGGACGGTGAACTACTCGAGCAGAGAAACATTGCAACGCACCTATCGGAAATCCCGGAGACAAACGACATCGCGTTTATCCAGTCTGTGACATCGGCGGGTTTTCATAAACTACCGGCGGTCGTGACCCGGACGGCTTCGCGGGCTTGTGCCCGTCGATTATCGTCGATCGGGGTCCACAGGCAACCGGCTGCGGCACCGTATACTAAAAGGCGCCCACTCGCCTAAGAGTTTCGATGCGTCCGAAGAAAATTCACAAGACGCAGAGAATATACGGCCCGTTGGAGGTGGTGGATATACGGGCCGACGGGGGGGGGGNGTGGAGGAGGTTATACGGGCCGTCGGGGGGGGGATAAACGGCCCGTCGGTGGAGGACGGTATTCGGGCCGTCGGGGGGGGGATAAACGGCCCGTCGGTGGAGGACGGTATTCGGGCCGTCGGGGGGGAATAAACGGCCCGTCGGTGGAGGACGGTATTCGGGCCGTCGGGGGGAAATAAACGGCCCGTCGGTGGAGGATGGTATTCGGGCCGTCGGGGGGGGGATAAACGGCCCGTCGGTGGAGGAGGTTATACGGGCCGTTGTCGGAAGCCACGTGCTCTATTGTATACTACGGCAGCCGTTGCGTCATCAAAAAGAAGAAAAAAATTCGCGTATAAATTATTTGTTTTTTTTCTTATTTACATAAATACTATTAATTCTTAGGGTCGTTTGGCCACCCTCTATTTGTTGTTATCACTATCATTTTATTATTATGTTCACATTTATTGATGTTCTTTATGTTACTTACTGATATTATTTACAAAAATTAAACTAAAAAGTGTAATATAAAGTTGAATAAATTTATATTGTTAAATAATCGAATAACGACTTATTCTGTCAATGGCGAAATATTATAAGGAACGAGATTGAATTCATTCTTTAACCGGGCAATATTTTCGGTAAAAAAATCGTGTTAATGTAATAAAAACGGAAACGCCGCAGCGCTCCGTAAATATTTTCCGTTTTACCTACAACTTTTTTTCGGGTTTTTCTCGATTATTTCAAAAACATCTTGGAAAATAAAAAAGTACCGTTTTAATGCATTAACGACTGAAAATCACCTTTTAAAAAAGCTGCTTTAATTTATACTCTAGAGCAAGATGTCTAGTAGATAAGTTGTTTGCAGGCAAAAACAAAAAAAAATGTGCACACATCATAGTAAAATCAAACAAAATGTATATGTTAGACGTTATTTATTTACGAATGTTATTATATTCGAGTTTCTTTTCACTTGAAAGCTTGCACTGAATTTGCAGAATGATAACGAAAACTCGTATGGTCGTTGTTTTAGTGACACATATCTTATGTTACTTGGCGACACTCAGAAACGATTGAATCGTAAAGTAAAAATACTATAAGTATAACTGCCGGAATAAGTATACCACTCTAAAAATACACGTACAAAAGAATGACTCTGAGCGGAGTTCAGTTGATAGTGATGCTTTGTTGTCAATATATATGTCGTGTTATAGTAAAATAAATAGGCTTTATACATTTTCTTTAATAGTATTTATTTAGTGTTATACCGATTTTCCCAATTTCTTTACGTTTTTCCGGTTTTTCAATGTTTTGTCTCGGTTTTTCACATTTGCTTGGAAAACTTCCGAGAAAATCGAAAAATGACATCTCTATAGTACTTTCCTATTGAATTTTCCCTTTAGAAACATTTCTATCATTAAATGTCGGAGTGAACTTGTTGGTAGAAATGAAGATCACAGGAAAAAAAAAATATTAATATTTTAGTAATAAATTTCGTTCGTTTTCCCAGGTTTTTTTCGGTTTTTCGTGTTTTATAATAAAAGCTCTTGAGAAAAATCGAAAAATGACCTCCCTAATGTACCTCCTCACACCGATTTCATTTTAGAATAGGTGCTACACTTAAAAATCCGAGTAAGTCTTCTGGTAGAAAAATTGTCAACAGATAATAAAAAATAAATAAACATCTTTGTAAAACTATAAGCTTTTTCGCTGCACCCAGAATCTAAAATTACTCGAATTTCTAATAATATGCTTGTAGTATTACTATTTGTATTACTACATTTTACATTTTCATGACATTGAACGTGTAATTATTTGAAAACAACTTAAAATAGACATTTAGTGAAATGCCTGATTTTACTATACACCTACGACGTATGCAAACGTAAAATATGTAACTGTAATAAATTGTATGTATGTAAGGCAAATAAACAATTTAAAATAAAACGTAATGAACACATTTCTGAAATAAAATTTTAAAAGACTTGTCCTAATTCAAATTTCGCTAAACGTATTTTAGAAAATAACCATAGTATGCATTTTGATAACAATACAGAGTTCGAAATAGTAAATACCCACAATAACATTTGGTTTTAAAAAAATTAAATATACAAAAGAAATAATGAAAATTAATTGTAATAATATTTTAAATGTTCAAACCGATTTTAAAAATAATACCAATACATTTTATCATGGTTACCATAATATTAATTTAACACGTGTAAAATGTCATTATAATAAAATGTATTGATATAATATATTATTTTTATATAATAATTTTACACGATAATCGAATAATTTACATTTTTTAACATATTTACGTATCAATAATAACTCTTTTTAAATAATCTCTCCTGTTAAAACACAGATATAGATAATAAACTATTTTTTTATCTGCGCGTTTAAATAAATTATTCCTATGTAAAACGACAAATTTGAATAGTTTTTCACCCTTAGTATTCCTCGGTTTATTTTTTCATATTCAGTCGCGTTTCAGTTTTTGACTTTGGGATTTACGCGATGATGGATTTTTAATTCGTACAATAAACGTATCTTAATAATCCAGGCGACACGTCAATGAATTAATCAATATATTTACATTGACGACTATTGTTAATCATTAAGTAATTTTGTTTTTACTCGAATATTTTATGAAAAAATTATACAACGCCGTATACATTTAAAGAGTATATTATCTTATGAAACCAGATTTTCCGGTGTTTCCTCGAATTTCCGCGAAAAATTCTCGTGGATCCGAAAAGCTCGTAAGCCGTACTACCTATTCGTGTATACGGCGAAAAAGTGCCAAAAGTGATAAGTAATAAAGCATAAGCTTGCATATTACATAATAAATATAGAAAAAATGTCTAGATTTCCAGATTAAAAATTAACCAATTTTTACAAATACATTTTAAAAGCTATACAAATGAACTTACCTTGTTCTGTAGGATCCGTATTATATTTTGAAAAAAAAAGATAAAAATTCAAACATACATATTAAACACGTTTCTTTTTAAATGTAATTACCGTATGGCTACGAAATTGTTTTTAATGCAGTTTTATATACTATATTTTTACTTATCTGGGCACCTATTTAATCAGGTTTGAGATGACTAAAACGTACGATAAGCATTAAATTATCTCTAGTATACAACATATATACGGCCATCAATAATTCAGTATCGTAAATCTCATTTGACGTAATTTTAAAATTGACTATAGACAATCTGAATTACGATTCAGACCATTGCGCGCCGAGCGGGGCTGTAGCAAATATTTCCAGATTTATATTGTGTGGTTGCGTCAGTTGTAAAATTTTCATCGACAAAATCGTGGAATTATAAATCCCGTTGTACTTTTTAGCAATACCCAAAAACGACTTTTGCACGCGACGGCAACAGTATTAAGCACGAGACTGATCTTTTTTGTTGGGCGCGTACCAATAATCCGTTTCTCCTGCAGTCGGTTATATAATACTAATACAGCGTACTGGTGGTGAATATCAAAACCTGGTGAGATAATCGATTTTTTTTTTTTTTATTAGTATAATATTTTATTTACAATATCATAAAAATAATAATAACTGCACTAGGACGCAATCAATTTTAAAATATAAATTACTTTGAGTAACCTTTGAGTGAATTTCAATTAAAAATAACCAACAAACACTCGTAATTTATTACGCGGCCGTAAAAAACTACAGTTTTATATTGAGATTGCAGATTTAAAATAAAATCATTATTGTTTTCAAACGAAATGTATTTTATTCACTAAAAAAAAATACACTTGGAATATTTTTTCCGAAAAGCGTTCAAAAATAGTAGGCGAATTATAAAAATTAAGTATTGAAATGCATTCGTATATTCGAACGGGTAACCTGTTAATTTATCGAAAACAATTAAACGCGTGGCAATTGCTCGAAAAACAAAAACTCGCAAACGACAGTTGATCGAAGAAACGTTGTTTGCAAAACTAAAAATTCTATTATTAATTAAATACATTTTAAAAAATATGTCAAATAAAATAACTAAATAATTAACTGGTATAAGTAAAAAAAGAATGCTATTATTATTGTTTAAATTGCATTTAAAAAACGAAGTCAACTAAAATCGCTAAAAACGTATAAATTACGAACAGTTAAAAATTAAATTTTCAATTGAAAATTATAGGCTGTTCCACGTAGATAATCGACAATGGTCAGATCATTGAAATCAGAGCACATTTTTTTTTTTTAATTCTCTAAACGGCTGTACGACATAGGCGCCAAAGGTGCATGCGTCGAAGTCAATATTTTATACACTTTATATAAATAGGTATTTCAAAAAGACGTCCTAGGATAATGGGGACGGGCGTAACCACTGTTGTAGGTAATTTAATGCATATCTGTAAGCAACGATGGACCGTTGCTAACGAAACAACGATTCTGAGCGGAGTTCAGTTGATAGTGATGCTTTGTCAACAATATATGTCACATTATGATAAAATAATTAAATAAGCATTGTGTATTTTCTTTAATAATATCCGTTTAATGTATCGATTTTCCTGTTCTTTTTCGGTTTTTCACAATTGTTAGGAAAACTCTTGGGAAAATCGAAAAATTACCTTTTTTTTAAAGCCGGTCGGATTTTCTTTCAGAAAAAATGCTATCATTGTAAATCGGAGCAAAAAAAAAAAATAAAACATCTTTGTAAAACCTTAAGCTTCTTCGTTCCACCCGGAATATGAAATATGTAAAATTGTCAATAATCGATAAAATATACGTTAAAATATGTGAAAATAAATATAATTTTATCAAAATTGGTCGGTTATCTTTAAAAACATCAGATAACAAATGTGTCAGTTAAGATTGAACGTTTGAATTTTTCGAACGATATAACGTAGTTATAAACTTAATGTCACACACACATCACGGTTGATAAATAAATCTATTATAATAAAATATATAAATCTATTAACCGTGGCACACGGGTACTTTTTTGTACCATACGATTTTGACGCTTTCTTACGGTACGGTTTTTTTTTTCTTATCTCATTTCAGCGCTTACGTCTTCTACCGCTCTTAACTCTATCTTGGCATCTTCCCCCCCCCCGAGCGGTTCAGTGTCAGATATTTACCGCTCAATTTTGAGTCGATTCGTGCTTTCTTCCTTATTTAATTAATGTATTATTACATTGTCCCGTCAGACGAATTATGGTTGCGAGTCGTGAATTTTATAACAAATACGTATTCTACAGATGAACACGCGATTTTCGGATTATAAATCATCGTTTGTTTCATTGATGAATTATTATCTGAAACTTTTCTGATCTGTCAACAGAGCCCGGTGTTGATACCCCGGAGCTGAGCAGTCGTTACTGGGATTATCACTAGATGGATTCGGATTGTACTTGCATTTTCGGTACACCCGGAAAAAAAAATATTTTTCACCGGGTAATCACTTCTTTACGTCTCGCGGCGGAACTCTAAACAATAAGCTATCGTAAGTAAATACCGACGTGAAATTGCGCAAGACAAATACAAAAACTATGTGTTTTCGGCGTTTATTTACAATAATAATCATATGTGACAATAGTGATAATAGTAATAAGTTTGAATAAAAGAGTGTATAAATTATATGTTAGGAAGCATAATATTATGTTATTATTATTATTATTATTATTACGCGTAGTCGTATTACAAGCGAATAATTATTCATTACATACAGAACCAGATAATTGAAAAAAAAAAAAAAAAAAAAAAATACGAAAATCGCTTTTGCGAAACACGACATTGTGAACAGAAGTAGACGCGGTGCGCGCACCGGCGACAGTCTGGCACCTCGAGTGTTTCGTTAAATAAATAAATTAATTAAGTTATACAGTAGCGAATATTATACCGTTCGTCACCGAACATCCAAGAGGTACACGTGCGCCCGGAATGAGATACACGCTCCTTATGAATTACACGGTCGACAGTGTATCAATAACATTAAAACATAAAACACGCGTATACGCGATAAATTATATTTAAAAAAATTAAAAAAAAAAAAAAATCCCAAAATTACAACCGGTACTGTCTGTTGTAGCGTTTTATAACATAATACAATATCGTACGTGTACGGGGCACAACAATATCGAAAGGCCGCATTTCCGCGTCTTTCTCCTAACGGGCGTGACGCGGCCAAAGCGTTTGCGCACGGATAAAAGCCGTGCGAAATCTGTTATTTAGATGCGTCCGCGATCTCGAAAAACGACAGTGCCGAACGGAATGTTTTCGCCGACGTTTTTGTGAATTTTCAAACGGGCAGACGTTTCATAGATAGGCGGACACTCTTACAAAACGTAATGTTACAAAACGGACATTGTGAACGTTGTTGCGCACGGTGGTTATACGATAAAAAAATATATATATTCGGATTGCGTTGTTGTTAGTTGTCAGATTGATGGCTATAACTACGATATAAATAAAAAAAAAAAAAAAAAAAAAAAAAAAAACTATATAATAGGAACATTTTCACGTATTACGTATATAGTGTACAGATATAATATTACAGTATAAATAAATAATAGGGTTAGTGTAGAACTATCGAATAAAAAAAAAATAATAATAATAATATATATAAAAAAAAAAAAAATGTATAAATAGTTACTTAATAATAAATAAAATGTACCTACTGTATACTATAATCAATGCAATATTACATTTATGTGATTTTTTGTTCACCAACCGAGGCGTTTTACAATAATTTATCTCCCTCCACCACAATATATAATATTATTAAAGGGTACGGGTATGTACAGGGTGATTTTTAATTCGCGCTGCACGCTAATGCGATATGCCGCGTTCGTTTTTTCGAAACAGGCTGTGTATACGGGACCGGGTTTAGGGTTGCGGGGTCCTAGCACTCGGTAAACAGAGGTAAATTGAAGTCAAAATGTTTTCGTCGGTGTTCGATTCGCGTGTTATATGTAAACGGTATATAAATAGTAGACAAAAGTATTCTTATTTCGCGGGGGCCCCTGGACCCGGGCTCCGCCCTATAAATCTAGCGCTGCGTAGTGTGTATTGTAAAATAGTGAGTTTTCGAAAAATTGCGCAAGACGAATAAAAAAAAAAAAAACAAAACAATCGTCCTGTATTAGTTACATATTATTAGTACAAGATGACGTCGCGTGACCCTGGCACATACGCGTAGGGGATTTTCGTATAAATAAATATGTTCGCAAATAGAGGGCGCGCGCGCGAACGGCGGGGGGGGAGGGGGTGGGCCGTGCGCGTTTCCCATCTATTCCGAGTCGCCGTCTTCGGTATCGGAAGTCGGCATGGGCACGTTCCTCTGGACCACGATGATCTTGCCCTGCAATTCCCGTTCGACGTCCGACAGTTGCAAGGTCGGCCTGCCGTCGGTCTTGTGCCGGTTGTTGTTGTTGTTGTTGTTGGCGGCGGCGGCGGCTGTGCTGTTGTGCCGGATCCGGTGCGCGGACCCGTTCGGCTTCTGTTGCATCGACTTCGGGACGTCCGAGTACCGTTCCATGGCGTGCCCCGAGATCGCCTGCAACAGCGATTTCCTGGCCGCGTCCGAGTTCGGCACCTTCAGCTGCTCCGAGTTCGGCACCTCGATCGTGGACAAATCCAACATGGGATACCGGTAGGCGTTGCTGTACAGCGCGTCCGTCGGGCTCAGCGCCGAGACGTTCGCGGTCCCGTTGGCGCCGCCCATAATGCGGAAACCGTATTCGACCAGGAACCCGGGGATCGGTTTCGGGGTCGCTGAAATGCAAAAAAAAATTGACGTGTCCGTTAAAAATCAAGAGCCCGGCGTTCGGAGTGTGAAATCGCAAAGCTCGGTGGCCGATTTGCCGACAACGATATTACGACTTATATTTCCCAACGTTGTTGTCTATAAGAGTACTGGGTATACGAGATACGGGCTGATCGATTAATGCTGTGCGCGATTATAGTACGGTATAATAACAAGTAAAGCACTTACACATTTGCGCCATGCCCGGGCTGCAGTTCATCGATTTGAAAAACCTCTCGATCGGAAGCACGTTTCCGTCTTCGTCTTCGATTTCGATGCTCAATCCGAAATTACGGGACGGATCCTGACGCCAGATCTTCACCGCGCTCCGGATATTCCATTCGGTCCATTTTTCACTGTAATACGGCACCATGCGGCTATCCAACAGCCTCCTCCTCACTGCGAATTTTCACATTTTTGTTATTTTTCATGATTATAAGTTGTATATATATATAAAGGATCTGCGGTAATAGGTGGTCGGATACCAAACTGTTTAGATTGTGTTGGATAGTATAGAACATGATGATGATTATAATACGGTTGCAACGTTATTTTCTACCGTAGTAATAGACATTTCATTACTGCGGTGAATTTGAATCTCGGTAAACAATAACATGACTAACAAGAAGTGTCAATCGTAAAAATCGGTCAAATTTGAACGATATATCCAATGGAAATTTAGCGCAATAACATTATCCGAACGGTTAAATTTTAGAACGACGTAAACATGTACAAGAAAATCGAAAAATAATCTCCCCAATACACTAACTAAGTCGAAAATGCTACGAAAAAAGTATTCTTATCGTGTTTCGGTTACAATGAGATACCCGATATCTGGCAGAAGATTTGTACCCAAAAAAAAATAAAATTTCAAATTTCATATTTGAACTCGTTGTGACATCATGATATTATATATTTCCGTAGCACTCTGGTAGATTTTAACGTCGGGCCAAACCAATAAGCAAATACTCTGTGTACCCCGAACCCTGCTTGTAAGTTTCGACGGTCGCACTTACTTTTCCTCTTCTTGAGCGTTCTGGTGTACATGTAAACGGACACGCGGATCTGTCTGTCCTCCATCATCGTTGCCGGGGCTTCCGCGGACGCGGACTGCGTATTAATGTTAGGTCGTTTCGACGTCGTATCTTCCAACGATGCCTCCGGACATCCGTCCGCGGTCTATAAAAGTGTTATTATTGTTATTACAATACAATTTTTCATCGTGTTGTTTATCGATAAATTCACGAGAAAATCGCGACCGGTTTCGGGTAGATAGAATTTAGATAAAAAAATCGTCTAAAATGTAATTTTCAGATGCCGACGTATTATGTCTTTGACCTGGATTAAACCGAACATCTTATTTATTTGTATTCATGGGTGTTTTCATCGAATACGTATGAAATAGTACGCTGTAGGCGTATCTCAGCGACGCGCGATGGCGTAAACGGGTATCCTATGAAACAGTTGCTACATGACCGAAATATCAGGTCGGTGTGTGTGTGTGACATTTTACCATAAGATAATGTGTAACGGAAAAGGTGAAGGAAGGTCCAGTAGCCTTAGGGTGCAGCTCCTGGGTTCGGGTCTTACGATGTTTTTTGAAATTTCACCGAAACTGCTTTATAGAAAAATAAACCCGTGAGGGTTTTTAAACTTTTATCTATTTTATCACAATATGCAAATCGTTATATTTATTGATTTTATCTGAACACACAAATGTCGGTTGTCTTTCCCAACACCGATCACGACAGTAATATAATTATTATCCGACCAGGTACGTACTTCGTTACTCGACAATGAAGTGCAATTTAAGAATTGTTTGAACAGTCTGAGCGTAGCCGTAGTTACGTTCACGGTGAAATTTTCATTGGACGGTCTTGCTATAGTTATATTGAACATGATGTTCATCGATTCTGTCGAGTACCAAGCCTCTTCGTTCGTGTGTTTGGGCAAACTACCTTTATTAACATAACGTGTAAAGGTATTGAAAATCGCATTGAAAAAAAAAAAAATTAAATCGACCGCAATACGTATATATGAGTCAGACATTGAAAATTTCTTGTAAAATATGAATTCGTTCATGAACTACTCGTATATAGTTCGTAAATAGGCATATTAGTTAAAATTTAGCCAAAGTTCACCGAACTCGTTTAGTCCGAGTTCATTATTGTGAACGAAATTAAATATACGTTTTATGCTAATTTTGTTATTGATTTTTATGAACTTTACACAGGAGTTTCATTGGATTTATTGGATATAAAGTATTCATATCCAATAAATGTTCGAATATTATAATCTCAAGAGGACGTCGCAGTCTGCAATACAATTTTTCAGTTTGTTGAAAATATTAATTTAATCATGTTTCGTTTGCATCGCGAATTAAGATAGCATATAGATGCCCAACGAGCTATGATAATCTTCTGTGCACGTGATCGTAAAAGTGACTGCTCCCAATCAACTGATATGGGTGTGAAAACTGATAAAACGACGCTATCACTTAAAGTATAAGAACTTAAATCTTCAACACCGCAGAACACGGTTAAAAATATATATTTATAATATAAATATTTAATATAAGAAATATTTTTGCCACAGAAAATAATTTTTTACACCGTGGCGAAATTAATAAGAGCTCGATCCGCTAGGCACGCTAGTGAGAATATTTTCGGAATTGTGACAAGAGCAGAGCCATTTTAACGGAGGTCACTTTTTCATAGCTTGTTGGGCATTCATACTTTGTAAATTCGTGGTTAGTGTACATTTTGAACCTTTGAACGTATGTTGAACTCGTTCATTCCGAGGTCTGATACAAGTATTAGGTACGTATAATGTCGCTGCGGCGCGATCGAACTTTGATATACTTACAACCGGGATAAAAACTTTGCGTTTTTTCCGTAAACGTGTCGAACGGATAACTGTCCGATACAACGCCTAATTTTTGATAAAAGTTTTGAAACACGTTCTGATTGGAGGATAACGATGAAGACGACGACGCGTTCGGGTTCGGTTTAATTATTGGACTCGGTGATGGAGCTCGATTTAGATAGTTCAAAATCTGCAACTTGATGTTTCTCAGGCGCTGTTTCTTGTTACTATAATAAAACAAAAGGCAAACGGATTCGATCAGCGCGGGAAACACGACAATAGAAATTAGATAAAAAATAAAAATAAAAAAAACAAACACAACAAAAACAAAATATGGCAAAACAATAGTATAAGCGTTTGTAATGTTATAACGGTTATAATGTTAAACACGTAATAAATCGTGTAATAACAATAGGCTAATAATACGAAAAAAAAAAAAACAAAAAACCAAACAACTATAAAATATTATCAATATGTACACTAATATACTATATAGCTAAGGTTGATAATACAATAATTTGTTATTACTATTGCCAATATAAGTAAATAAAACATAAAACGTTAGACTACGGGGTTCAAATGGTGCAGCAAAAATTCAATAAATGACAACACATCACGCAAACACATTAAAAGATTACTGTATAGGTATACACACTTACGGCTTCGTTGTATTGCCATACTCGTCCACGGTAAGTACGGACACGGTGCTGCGAATAAATACATATTATTCAAGTATATTTTTTAACGGCGATACATGTAAACCATAAATAGCCGGACATTATTTGAATGGCTATTATATTATTATAAGGTATCTAGTTTAGTTTCACTATGACTGAAAGCGATTCCAACGATTTGTTCATTGGAATAAAAAAAAAAAAATTCAAATTTTCCCCCGTCTATGTTTTGTTATACCTACTATATTACTTTCGACAAATTATTAAAACTTGAGCACAAAAATGCTAGGGGTAGTGGTTGAAATTTGAAACTCCCAAAATGCACGTCCTCGATACTAACGTCAACCGTATATACCGAATATCATATCATCCCCATGACGTCGTTTCGGGAGCCTGTAAGAGTTTTCAATGCTAAAAAAACACCTTTCCCCCATAGCAAAATGGTGAAATTCATGTTAAAATTTAACCTAATTATTTTATCATTTCAATGTACTTATAAAAATAATTTGATAAATAATTATTGGTTATTTTGATTCGGAGGGAGCCGTTAAAAATATCCGAAAGCAGTTGATATTGACAAAAATAAAACCTATAGTTTATCGAATATTTACTATCGGTTTTTGTACCTAAACGATTTTTTTTTTCAGAAAAACTGATCCGGCATCTTCTAAGGTACTGAGTGAAAAAGTCAGAACATTTTTAATAACCGAACAAGTTTACGCATAAAATAAAACAGTATATAGGTGAAATTACGGAACCAACCCCGGTTTCTGAATCCTATTTCAAGTATTATATACCCGAATATTATATTGAGTACGGTGTAATAAAATAAACCGATCACGTTTAAATTATTTGAAGACCCGTCTGGAAAACCAAGGACGAAAACGGCACGTAGACGGATCCCATTAAAAATTGACAATATCATCGCGGTTGACGATGCGACGACGACAAGAACATGTCCGATTTATTTACGAGCGCATCGTCACCTCGCGTGCAATTTGGGGTTTTTTTCGTCTTTTATTTTTGTTCTTATTTTTATATGTATACATATCGACCGCGATGAGTCACGCGCAATAAACGAAATCGAAAACGTAAAATATAAACCAAAACCCGCCGAAAAACAAACAAAAAAACCTGTAGGACGGCGACGTAATAGGAAGTACACAATAACAATAATCGTTTAAAAAACATCCCGGCGCACGCGGACGCACATTAAAATCCGTCTGGAAATGCTGCAGTCGCGGCGTCAAGTGCATTTCCCCCTAAGTTCCGCCGTCGGTTTAAAAATAAATAAAAACGTTGTGGGCCAGACGAATAAATTACAAAGAGCCGAGACGGCGGCAAAAAATAAAAATAAAAAAAAACAAACAAAATTAAATCATATACACGTGTTGTGTACAGAGCCTCAAACTATACGCATTACCTGTGTGTGTGTGTGTGTGTGTATATGTAGGTACGTGCCCGACATTTTGTACTTTAAAAAGCATCGTATCGTAGCCGCGATGGGGTTTTTATTTCAAAGAAAAACGATTCGCCCGAGACAAATATTTATTTACAGAATTTCAATCGGTAGAACAATTATACGACATATGGGTAGGTATAAAGAAAAAAAAAAAAGTAGACGGCTGTGTGTCGCCGTCTCTGGAAGAAATATGGAGGATATTAGTACATTGGTATAGTGTGGGTAATTGAATTTATATCCGCACGCCACTGTATTGATTTCCAGCGATTCCGAGCGTGGTATTGTTAGTCATATTTTTTCCCGTTTCGTCAATAGGTTTCCGGGTTCCTCCGTTTTCGTTGAGAAATCACGAGGAAAATACAAAAAAACGAAACGCTACGAGGAATTTTCGATTGGAGCAAAGTGTCTGGTATAAAAATTGTGTGCAGACGTAAACAAACAGAAAAAAAAAAAAAAAAACATAGTAAAACCAATGCTGACATTTATATTTTCGCGCTCGACGTTTACCGACGATACACGCAAACAAAACGTGTTACACACTCGAATTGGTCCTAGCAGTAGTGAACGGTATCGAATTGAAAAACTCAATTGGTTCGGAAAATCGATTTCAGTGGGATTTCGATGATGCCGCCCACATGCGTGTAGTATTCCGGTATTTCGTATCCGTCCGTTCTCTCGCGTACAATCGATATTTGCACTGTGTCCAACTGTTGCAGCTGCCATTTCACGAGCTAAATACTAAACTACAATGAAACCTAATCTAAATACGATAAAATGACAATTCCGTATGCGACACGTGTTGCAGTATCTACTGCTTAAATATACGCCGGCACGGTCAGGTTTGAATGTTGGAAATATGATTGACCGATTAAATCATAAAACGCGGTTAAACGAGTACTGGGGACGTATAGAGCGACAAACGAAAATGCTGACACATTGCAGAAAATATAACGTTACGTATTTCTGTTCCAAATACCACCTACCTATATAATCGTATTTGGATTCAGTCGTCAAAAATCAATAACGAGTAGGTATTGTAATAATATCGAGGAATGCGTATTTGTAAAAAAAAAAAAAAATCCCTAATCGAGTTTTTTTTTTTTTTTAATGAATTAAAATTGAATATATACGTATTATTATTGTGAAATAGTAAGTACCTCGTATTTTTTATGAATGGACGGGATTAAAATACGAAAACGAAATATATAATTTCGAAAACAAATCAACGAATAAAAAAATGTGGGCAGTGCGAAGACACGTTTCTATGTAAACAATGGCAAATAATTTGTAATTTCTTACTTGAATTGTTGAAAAAAAAAAAAAAACGATCGATATCGTTCGCTTTATGACCGCGATAAACTCATTTCACCGAGTTTCGAGATACGCGAGATTACGGCACTGCGCGCTTGATAACTGGGTCTGTATTCGCTGGGACCTAAAGATATTCAAGGGACGCGCTAAGGAAACTGTACTCCTCACGAGCGTTGTCGGCTTCGCGCCATCAGGTCGGTTGAGTTTTTCCGTTTCCCCCGCGCTCTATCTAAGCCCCCCCCGATGGATTTCCGTCGACTTGACGCGGTTGACTTGAGGTTTCGGTGCAGGTACGCACCCGGGGGGACACTGATATTCTCGGAGCGGTGTCCGGTGCGAACCGCCAAGTACATTACAATATGTAAATTGCGTTTTGTAAAATCCCCTGAAACCACGTCGTGTACGTATCGGCTAGGGGCCGGACACGGACAGCGTCCGTCGGGTACGCGATCGGGTCGAACGATAAAAAAACAAGTGTGAAAAACAACATTACGACGTCCTTACGTGAGTGCACCGGAACATACGCGTCGCTGTATTCCGGGTCAACCGGGTTAGTATCGCGGGGCAACGTAACGTTTTGCAATTGTATTTTGTTGTAATTTTTTATTGTTTTCCCTCTGTTCGTTTGTAGTAACCGCGGCGGATCGTACGCTACACTGTTACTTCCCCGGGAACGACCAGACGTCGTAACTAACGTAAAGTGTTGCGGCGACGCGGCTGTGATGACAATATTATGCGCACGCACAGTGCGGACACCAGACGACTGCGGTCAGGCCGTAACGATTCGAAACGGGACAATTGTGTATCGTAACGATTCATTTTTGAAAAAACGAACCGCCGCGATGATTATCCGGACATTTTACCCCCTGTGCGGTTGTTAGGACGTTTTCGTTTGTTTTTTAATGTACAGATACACTCGACGGAATTGACGATTGATCGATTGTGCATCTGTACTTGTGTACGATATTCGCGGGAAAGTTTTTGGAATTTCGCCGAGGACGTTTCGATCGCAGCGTCGGAATTCATAACGAAATCGCGGTGTAATTTTTTACGCGGAAATTATTTTCGATTTTATATATATTTTTCCGGTTGTCGAAATGACGCTGTGGCCGCGTTTCATGTCAAGAGGTCGAATTTCCGGTCGCGTATTTCGAAAAGACGGGTGAACGTTATTGATATTATATTTATGTGCCTGGGATGGGTACGGATATCTGTTGCACCGCAATAATATTGGCGATACACTGCGAATATTTATTCTCGTCAGTCGTCCGTACGACGTTAGATTAGGTTAGGTTAGATTAGATTGGGTAATTTAAATACCTATACACTAGAATTATAAATCACGGACATTTCCCTTTTTGACGTTTTAGATTCGAGCATTGTATTGGTGTAACTGCACGATGCGTGTTTTTTTTCTGTCTGTAAACAATTTTTTACCTTTAATCTTTTTAACTTTTTCACTTTTACTCGTTGTGATTACGAAGTGTTTATTAAAATTAGCTTTCGGAAAAAAACGGGAAATTGCGCGTCGCTAACGCGATTTCTTTATGTTCGAATGTGTTTGTTATGATTTCGTATAAATACTAGTAGAGACAGCCGAGGTGATATGCCGTACGGTAGCTCTTTTTTAGACGCGGTATAAACTTTTCGGAATGTGAAGTCGTCGAGTTTTCATTTGGTTTTATGCAGTTTGACCGAACAGAAAAATGCTTGTACATTGAATAGTGTTCACCGTAAGACGTGTTTTACTGGGCGGTAATCCGATCGTAAAAATGGATTGAAAAGGGGTTGAAAGTTGAAATCACCAAAAAGCTTAATACTTACACGGTGCGTAAACTAATTTCCAGTGCCGGCATTATGGGAGGACAAATAGGGCATATGTCCAGGGCCCCGCGGTTTATTATTAAATAGGTATACAATCATTGGTTATACTAAAGTCACCGCTGTAACCACTAAAACACTGTCCTGGGCCCCGCGAAACCGAGCGCCGCCACTGCTCCCTTTCACCCTCCCCCCCTGCCTCATTCAAGGGTGTTTGCAGACGTGCGAAAAAAAACTAAAAAACACTCTTGTCCCGCAACGGATGGCGAAGTTCGTGCATTGAAATCTAACCGAAATGTTATCACTTTAATCCGTTTGGAACAAAAAAAAAAAAAAAATTCAATTCCCGAGTTTGAGCTCAATTGGTCCAAGTGGAAACCGTTAAAAGTGACCGAATGTTCGAGAAAACGCAAAAGCAGTAGCTATTTTGTTTATAGTTTCAACTTTGGATACAGTTTCGAAACGCATATAATAACACGTTTAACCGAACTCGGCTCAGAATCGTCTTCCGTCGGCCGCGCATAAACCGAACGACGGTCCGCCGTTCCCGGGTTCCCGACGGTTTTTTTCTTTTTCTCGGTTCGGTCACGCGGCGGTCGTCTTCGTCCGGCGGCCGGGCCCCCCCGAGAGAGGACGTTTCGCTCTATATTTAGTGTCCCGACGACCACCGCCGGCGCACGTGTTTGCGACACGGCGGTGGCTGCTGTCTGTAAAATCGGCCCGAACGACACAAAGTCGGATAAATTATTACACCAGTCATTATTATTATATGCGTACACGTCTTTCGACGCCGACGTCTCGGGCGACTACGATTTATTATTTAAATATAACCGCCGCCGCCGTCAGTACAATGCATTATAACATTATAAATACGCGGCGAGTGACGACGGATCCGCCGGGGAAAAATAGAAAGAAAAAAAAAAATCCTAAGACGGGGGAAATATGGGGCAGCGGTCGGGTTGAGCTGCCCGACCGTTGGTAGATCGCCAGTAAAAACAGAAGAAAAAAAAAAAAAACGGATCGCCTAATAATAAGATCGAGAAGAGTCGCCGCGCCGCCGTGTTCTATTCATAGAACATTATAATATTCGTCCACTCGCGCATATTTTGGCCGTTAATATCGAAGTGTTGTAAAAAAAAAAAAAAAAAACGATGCGCGAGCTTTGCGTTTCGCTCTGTAGACCCGGTGGCGCGCTCGGGAATTGCCGACGGGTGGGAATGTGGTGAAATAAGAACCGCGAATCAATCGTAAAATCCTCTTCCCGGACCCCGAGACTCGACTACGGTAATCGGTAGTTTAAAAGCCGATTTCTATTCGAGCTTTTTCCGTAACTTGGCTGAAACACAAGTATGATATGCATTTCTACGAGGAAGGGGGAGGGCGATTCGTTCCCTCGTCCCAAAGTGCAATGTACTTTTACTCCCCCCCCCACAAAAAAAAAAAAATCAAAGTCCCTCACCCCACGTCATTTCGATATTGGCGATGTGCACTGCAGTGGCGTGACTGCAGGACCGAGGTCGTATTTAAGATCTGTCGGCCCCAGGGGCCAACCCGTGGACATGTTTCAATGTCGATCGGGAGAGTTTTAATAATTTTTTAAAGTTTTGAGAAAAAAATTGAAAAGTCAATTAGCCATAATAATAATAATAATCGATTAGCGAATGCGGTTACAGTCTGCTGCATAATTATAGGCACCCGGTTTTCTCTAAACATTAAAAAAAACAATAAAAATCACGAATTCGATTAAAATATAAAGTCGAAACGTCAACATTTTCGTCTCAACACTTTGTCAAATTGTTAATATTATTATCATTTTCTATAATAATTATACAAAAAATTCCATTTTTTCTGGAAAATATGAGAAACGTATTACATCCGTACGCAGAGACCGATTTTTCAATCACGTCAATGATCGATGAATCGGGAATAACGGGCAGGGAAATGCGGCTTTTCAAAACGATTAAATTAAAGAATCGGGAATCGGTTTTCTGAATTTTCTTCGATTCCAATTTGAAAATAATCTGTAACCCTTCATCCGCCTAAATGTAAAGACTTTTATGCAGATCCATTGCTTTATGAGGAAAACCGTTTTTAGACCATTAAACTGAAGTGACATCCATACATTACCGTTCGCCGTATTTTCGATTTCGAAATCACGATTTCATGTTATTCGTTTGTATTTAATTAAAGTACGTCACGACTCGTGTTTACATCCGTTTTTCTCGGCATAAACTCGCAATCGAAAGTTTTAAAAGCATAAAAGTGTGAAAATATTTTCGATACGGAACATAGAAAAAAAAAGGGGGGGTACGGAGTCGAATCGCTTTTCAAATCAGAAATCGCAAAACAACTGGAGACGTTTTACTCTGGTTCGTAGGCCGACGTTTATGAACAAAACGCCCGTCGAATTTGGGTTTATTAATTTTTCGTTTGACTCTACGCGTTTTTCGACCGTCGACAGCGGTCCGGCTAAAAGTGTGTGATTTTCGCGGTTATTCGGATTTTCGGGTATTTCGAATTTTTCGTGCGCGCGCGATTTCGGACACCGACAGACTCGTGCGTCGAAACGGCGCTTAAAGCGGAACCGGGGCCCGGGTCCGTCCCTGCCCTCCCCTCCGAATGACGGCCGTCGCGTTACACAAAAATAATTGATTATAACCGCGTTACGGATGTCGAACCGTATCAAAATTAATATTATCGGACGGTACCTTTCTCTGATCACCGCCTGATCGTCCGGCTGCACGGTGACTTGCGCGTCGTCCGTCGACGGCGGCATGTCGGCCATCATCATGTCTTCTCCGTCGTCCGGCGGCTGGCCGTTGGTGGCGGGCGGCTGGGGCATGGCCGTCTCCAGGACGGTCAGCTCCTGGTCGGTCAAGGCCTCCAGCCGTCTGGACAGCTCCTGGTCGACGAAACCCCGGTCGACCGGGTAAGACGACTGCGGTCCGGCCGTGGACGCTCTGCGGTCCGACTTCGGCCCGTCCACGGCCCGGGCCGCGGCGGACACGGTGGCCAGCGAACCGACCAGCACCGCGGCGAGCAGCCACCGCGAGTGCAGCGACGTAGCGTCGGCGCGCGCCATTTTCTATTAGGCCGCACGAGAGTTCGGTGCGCGCGAAACGCAAATGTTATTGGCAATGCGGTTCGGCCGCGGTTCAATGCGCGATTCCGAGCGGGGCTGCTGCGGCGGGCCGACGGAATGTCGCGGCGTACACGCGAGTGGTGCCACTAAACGAGCGTGACGGTAATGTTTGGACGTCTCGACGGGATAGCGGCCCGCCGAACGGGTGTACGGGCCTGCGCGCTGAGACCGGCGACGGTTTTAGCGGCAAAATCGAAACGGTACGGAAACAACAACAATAATAATAATAATAATATTATTATTATTGTTATGATGGTATCGTCGTGTTGTTGTTGTTTTGACCGACGTCCGTCTGGTTTGAGCGATCGCACGCGTCGTTCTGGCACGTCTTGGCGTTCGGTTCCGCGACGATTACAATAATAATACCAGTGGTCGCCGTCGTCGCAGTCACGGAAGAAGCGCGAGAGTGTGTTTGGCCGCGGGTCGTGTTGTCGTACCCCGTGGGCGCGAGCGTTGACGTTCGTGTGTGAAAAAAAAACCGTGTGTTTATACATTTATATACTCCGTGCCGCCGCCCCCGCCACCCCCGCCGCCGTCGCACCACCACCCTTGGCACCCGGGCGGGAGCCGCGTGTACACGTCTACGCGTCATACGCGCGCCGCTCTTATTTTTTTCCCGCCTCCTCCTGCTCCCCCTACTCCCGCACGCGGACGGCCACCGTGTAGCCACCGGCCGCGTACAGCCGCCCTCTCCTCATCGCCCGCGGCACCCCTCACACCCCCCTCCGACCGGTCCGTCGGCCGTTGTGCGCGCGTCGTAACGTCTTCGCCGCGGACCGTAGGCCGGGCGGTGGCACACGGCGTCGTTTCACACAATACGAACGTGCAAACAAACGGACGGCCGGACCTTTGATAATCGTGTTGTGTACACGTAATAATTGATAATTGCCATGACACGAACGCCACGCGCGCCGCCGCCGTCGGTTATTATTGTGTCATCCGGTATCGGCGTCGACCCGCCCGCATGTTCCCGCGGGGGTGTCGTCCCGTTTACACGGACCGTCGCGGTTATTAGACGGCCGAGGGGTGACCGACGACGGTCCGATCCGGGATGCGACGCTTTTCCGGTCACGTAGGTTGTGAGTAATAAGAGGGGAGGTGGACGGGTACAGGGATTTGGAATAGGTTTTTTTTTTTTTTTTTTCCTTTGTTAACGGGCCGTCCGAGCGTTGAATCCGGCCGACTGACGTTCGGTAAAAAGTAATTTCACGTCGCTTGAAAACCAATTTAACGTGTCGGTAGGTTACGGGTAAATTTAATCATATCTCAATGGGACATGATGAATGAGATGATCTCGTCCGACCACCGCCATCTCCTTAAAACGCGATGTCGCCGTATTCTTCGTCTCTCGAATATGCGGCGTAGACAATACGGACAGCGGAATTTGAGGGAAAAGGGGCTGAGGAAGCTGCGTGGACTCTGCCGACGATATTTCAAACCGACCGTTTACCGGACGATGAATTTTCGTTATTTCGAAATTTTTTGGTGAAAATTAGGATCGCTCTGGGTGACTCGACGACATGCGACTCATCAAATAGGTTTTTCCCGACAATATTCTCCGAGTTGGAGACTCTTTGATAATTTCGTCTCTTATCGTTTTATCTTAAACAGATCGCATGGCGTTTTTGTTTTTTTTTTCCCCGAGTTTATGGGTTTCGTTATAATTTATACGAATGCCGCAAACGTCAACATTCATACGTATGCGACACGTCGTTAAGCGTTAAAATACCACGTGGGTCACCCATCCACGTCCGTCCGTATAATCAGTGACGTACTCGTGTGTGCTTGGAGGTGAGAATTCGGCCCTCCCCCGTGGGCCGCCGTATAGTTACACGCGTGCATTTTTAGTTCTTTTTTTTGTTATATTATTCGGAATTTTTTTTCACGGAATAGTTGATAATAATATCACGACACGGTCAAATCCTCAAACCCGTAGGTATTGAAATATTTTTTTTATCTGTGCTCAGGACCGGGATACCCGATGTTATCATTTCATTTTGACCATTCGACCGTTGCCTCTTATCATTAATTTCTAGTTGCCAAAAAAAAACGTGCCAGGAACGCTTATGCCGGCTTGCGCTCAGCTGTTGCATATTTACCAAGAAAAACCGGAGATCAGACTTTGTATTATGAATGTATAACGTGCGTTATAATGTTTTATATTTAATTAAATACAAATGTTTTATTTTACCCGATTCCCGTGTCTATTAAAGGTACATACGTATCATGATATTGTGACGTTACTTTTTTAAGACATTTTCTGTTTTCAGAGCTAGTGAAAATATAATACACCCTCCTCGTAAGAAAGGTCTCGGTACTCCACAGCGCGTAATCATAGGCATATACGATTACACCGGTTGTACAGTGTGCATTAGCTGTTTATCATCTTGTCAGTTGTGTCACAGATTAAACGGGGAGAGAGGGGGAATGGAATCCTATGTCGTGTCATGTGTACGAGTGAATGTCTTCACTCGCCGTGTTGTTGTGTGTTCAATATTCACTTTTTCAGTGCGGTCTGGTTTAAGAAAAAAAAAAAAATCGTTGCTGCTAATGGGCGTGCCATTTTGTGATAGATGGGAAGTCGGGAAATTAAAGTCAAACGTCTTTAAATTGAATAATTTATACCTATCTGTATAAGCAACGATAAACCAATTGCTAACGAGATACGAATCTCAGCGAAGTTGGGTCGTTTGTTTTTTTAAATGCCGTAGTACTTTCGGTTTTCGTCGAAATTCCGAATATTAAAACGCTTGTTGAAAAAAAATTATTTTTTTAAAAAAATGCCGAATTGAAGATGTCCCCGGAGTATAAGGGTACCTATTATGTATTAACGCGCTTCACTCGGTCCGTTTCGAAACCGTCTGCGATCCCGCGACAATATCTAGACGATATTCCTCCCTCTCCGCCCCCCCCCCATCATCACCAGTAGTGATTCGCCGTGAGGAATAATAATAATTCTCTCGTCTCGCGTCGCTATAAACTTTCGAGACACGTGCCAGACGAGACGACGGTATTGTAAAAGGCGAGACGGTGAAATGAGAAAAAAAAACACATAAACAAATAAAAAAAAAAACCGCTCGGGTTATTGTTCGCGGCAAAATAAGAAAATAAGCGTAGTATACACAAGAGTCACGCACTTGTAAAAGTCAAAAGACAAACTGTACGTAAAAAAAAAAAAAAAGGTGTATACACAAAGAACGGTTTACCGGAATGTTTACAACCGTCTGGCTCGCGCGTCTAGACGGGCACGCGCGTCCGTATATTATTGCGCAATCGATATTTACGCGAAACTCCGCTGCGTATCAATGCGAGGGGTGCTTTTGTTTTCCAGACCTTTGGAAACGTCGGGAAAATTTATTACCGAGTAGTACCCGTAACCGCTCCTACGCGCTGCATGGGAGGCGCGGGCAGCCGCCGAAATCGGGTTTTTTTATTGCGTTTGGAGGGGAAATCGGCGGGTCGCCGGACGGGATTTTAACGTTTGTTTTTTTTCTTTTCGGATTCGGAGCCAAGCGATTTCACCGTGGTGTGTATTTCTTCGGTTTTCCGTCCGCGAACATGGAAATCTTCCTCCGACCGAAACGTCGCGAGAGTGCTTTTTCGTTGTGTCGCCGGCCACTGATAATTGGAACACGGTCGTTTTTTTGAAATTCTCATCGAAATTCGAGATAATAATCGGGGGAAACCCGGTTCTTTAGACTAAACGAAATCGAAAGATTTAAAATAAGGTTGCTGTCTTTGGTGATCGTTTTTATTCGGTTTTTGTTATTTTATTAATCTTTTTAATTTTTTTTTTTTTAAACAACTGTTGTTCTCGGGTGTACGCACGCATTGGTTTTTTATTGGTCAATTTACTTTACATAAATTAAATTCTCAACTATATTCTGCCTTCCCAACTTCTCGCCTATACAACAGTGAGTGCACTCGTCGTGCAAAGTATATCCGTCTTCTTTCGTTCGTTTTAACGGTTTCTTTTTCGTTCGTATCACCGAGGCAACCGTCGTAACAGACGAAAAACAATTCGGTTTCAGTACCGAAAACGCCGATAACCCTGCGAATGTCGCTCTTTGAATTCGGGCGGGGGGAAAGTATATCCCACAAAATTGGTCTAAAACATCAGCTTAATTCATTCGGTAGCTTTGGCGTGAAGAGTTAACAGACTTCCGTCAATAATTTATAATATCAGTGGGATTTTGAATTCAAAGCGTGCGATCGATAGCCACTACGAAACCCCGCCACTTCCAGTCGGACGGGAAAAATTCAAAATAAAAGCAATAACATTGTCCTAGGGTAAAATCGATTGAGCGGGTAGCGTGCGAATCCTGAACTCGCCCCGAGGCCCTTAAACCCCGTATAGGTCTACGCCACTGAGGGTGGGTAACCGGGTTATTACTTCGAGTACGGCGACGGCGCGGTTGAAAACGTTCCTTTGTCCCCGACACGCCCGAAATCGAGTGTCGCGATCGCGTTCTCCGATGAAAACTGCCGATGGTTTTTTCGTCGACACCGTCGACAAATCTCATCGACCGGACAAAGTATGTACGATACAATGCGCAACAGAATATACACTGTACCGGGCGTAGCCAAAACTGGTTTCGGTGTAGATCCGCCAAGAACGTTTGAACCTTCGCGGATCGACTTCCACAAATAAACGTATAATTATTTATTGCCTAACGGGTCAATCAATAAGAAAAAAAACTGAAACGCTAAGCCAAATAATGTTGCCCACCGCACTTTTCTCAAAACTCTATAACGAAATATTATACATTAAATATATTAGAAACGAATCTACCGGCGTCTACGAACAATGTCGAGCCGCGTTACTCGATAAACCGACAAAACGAAATAATGATCTGTCACGGTAAAAATGATCGACAGTGGTTATTGCGATTCGTCGTTTTCCGTAAAAATAAATCTTAACAAAAGGTGATCGACCGATT